GTGGTCCGAGTAGGCGGGGTCGGAGGATCGCGCCGCATCGCCTGTGCATCGGCGACGTCGGCGTGGAGAAAGTCGGGCTCCACATCGAGCCGCATCGCCGATGCATCGGAGATGAAGCGCGATCCTCCGACCCCATCTGCTATGACCCCATCTGGGGGGCCTAGAGAAGTTGGCACCTGACCGTGATCGAATGAAGCCAGTGCTTGGTCTCGGAGAACCGGACAACTCGGGTTGCCCTGACGGGGCCGGGGTCTCGTGTTGGCCTGACGGGGCCGTCGGAAAAACCGCGGGGCCTGGTTTGGCGCGGGCTCCCGCTGCAAGCGCCGCACGAAAACCAGGCCGTCAAAACTGACGCGAGGACCGCCAAAACGCGTCGGCAAGCTGAGGCCCCCGCAAAAACTCAAGACTTACAACCCATGGCTCGATTGTGGCGCCGGCGGTCACCAGCACGCTTACACCAGTGAGGGTGAAAGAGGAGGGGGGCGGCTCAGGGGCGGAAACACGTGCTGGGCGACACACCGCCCACAGATTGGTGATATACCCTCGATTGGGAAACCTCACGTTCCTGGGCGGGGCGGGCTAGCAGGCTCCTGACGGCGATGAGCTGGCGATTGGGAATTCGCGCGTTCCCACCTGAGCCTATACCCTCCCGCCATTGGTTTGCAAGTCATAACTCCACTCTCCGGCGGTCGTTCGCGACGATCCGGGCACCCCTGGAACGCTCTCCGCGAGGCCCAGCTGTCAGAAGGTATCGCGAGGCTGGAACATCGCGGAGAACCAACGAAAACGATTCAAATCCCCCCCCCCCTCAGCGTTCCCACTTGAGCCTGACCCCGCCACTGGCGTTGCCTCTGGGGTATCCCCAAGGTCAGTGGGTCGGGGCCTGTCTCTCCCCACAGGCGGAAAGGTGGCTGCCCATGGCTAGTGCCGGGATGCCAGCCTCCACGCCTTCGATATGACGTACCAGTTCCCCAGCCCCTTCGACTCCAGCTGCGTCGCGGCAAGCCTCGGGCACGCCCGGACGAGCGCTGCGGGGTCGCAGTCGTCGAGGTTCAGGGCCCCGTTTTCCACAGCCACCCGCACAGGTGCGATAGTACGCTGGAGGGAATAGTGGCACTATGCGCCCCCCCTTCCCCCTCTTGAAGCGAACATGCAGCGCACACGCATGTGATAGTACATCGCTGCCCTGGCGGCATGGCCAGAAAGCGCCCGCCGCCGAGCATAAAAGCAGACTTCTGAGCGCGCGCGTCGCCCCTGGGGGGAAGGGGGGGGGGGGAGGGCAATGCACACACGGTATCCATCCCGGGGGGGGGGGGGGGGCGACGCACACACAGTACCAATATTAGGTCGGGCATGTCCCCCTACAGGCGGATGTTGAACGGCAAATTCGCCGGCCCAACGGGCCAGGGCGTGCTAAGATCTCCGGTACCTGGTTAACAGTATTTCTAGTTCGCGCGCGCGGGGCGGCCCCTGGGGGTCCCCGGGCGAAAAGTACCCCGGCAAGGTCCCGGCAAGTCCCCGGCAAGTCCCGGCAAGGTCGGGTCAGAGATGCCGGAGTTCTGTTTCGGAGTCCAAGAGGGCTCCAGATCGGTCCAAGAGGGCCCCGAGAAGCTTTCTAGACGGTCCAAGAGAGGCCCGAGACGGCCAAAGATCGCCCGAAGACGCCCCAGATGGCCCCAAGACAGCCCAAGAGGCCTCCAAGACGCTCCAAGGGCCTTCCAAGAGGCCTCCGAAGAGGGCCCCAAGTTGCCAAAATCGTTGATTTTCATTTGTTTTTTCTATGTTTTTTTGCGTTCTGGCCTTTTCGCTTCCGGACGCTCCAAGAGGGCCCAAGAGGCCTTCAAGACTGCTCCAAGACGGCCCACGAGGCTCCCAAGACGGCCCCGGAGCGGCCCAAGAGCGCCCCCCAGACGGCCCAAGTGCTGCCCAAGGCGGACCAAGAGGCCCCAAGACGGGCCCAAGAGGGGCTCAAGAAGGGAACCGAGAACTGAAAAATCGAGCCCTCCGCCCCAGAAGGCGCCCAGGACCCCGAAAGAGGCCCCAAGAGACTCTCCAAGACACCCCCAAGACGCCCCAATAAGCTCCCGTGAGGCCCCAAGAGGACCAACAACGTCAGGCCCCAGGCCCCAAGAGGACCAACAAATACCGCCAAGAGCCCGCCGAAAGCCCCCCAAGAGACCGTCACGAGAGCTCAGGAGGCCCCCTGGAGGCCTCCCGAGTTCTCCAAGAGGCCTAAAAAGAGGCGCCAAGAGGCCCCAAACGGCCCCACCGAGGCTCCAAGAGGCCACGAACGCGCAAGCAAACGCCTGCGATGGCACAATACGGGCCGGCGGAATGAGCGAAGCGTTTAATAAAACTTTGTCAACAATTATCCCGGCAAAGCAACCTAACAGCGATGTGTAGGAGCATATCTGGAAGCATTCCCCTTAAGATTCAGATGAGAATCCAGTTGTAGAATTGTGCTGTTCTCGCAGTCGTAGTCGCATTCGCGATGACAGTCGCAGTGGCAACGGCAGTCACAGACACAGCCTCAGCCTCAGCCTGCCTCAGCCTCAGCCTCAGCCTGCCTCAGCCTCAGCCTGCCTCAGCCTCAGCCTCAGCCTGCTTCAGCCTCAGCCTCAGTCTGCCTTCAGCCTCGGCGTCAGCCTCAGCTGCCTCAGCCTCAGCCTGCATCAGCCTCAGCCTCAGCCTCAGCCTGCCTCAGCATCAGCCTGCCTCAGCCTCAGCCTCAGCCTGCCTCAGCATTCAAAATGTGGCCCGGGAATGTAGTTCTGGGAACTCGAAGAACACGAAGTGGCCTACAGTTGGCTCCGGGCATTCAAAATCATGCCCAGGAATGGAGTTCTGGGAACTCGAAGACCACGAAGTGGCCTACAGTTGGCTCCGGGCATTCAAAATCATGCCCAGGAATGGAGTTCTGGGAACTCGAAGACCACGAAGTGGCCTACAGTTGGCTCCGGGCATCCAAAATCTGGCCCGGGAATGGAGTTCTGGGAACTCGAAGAGCACGAAGTGGCCTACAGTTGGCTCCGGGCATTCAAAATGTGGCCCGGGAATGGAGTTCTGGGGACTCGAAGACCACGAAGTGGCCTACAGTTGGCTCCGGGCATTCAAAATGTGGCCCGGGAATGGAGTTCTGGGAACTGTGGACAGTCGAAGAGTTCACTCGAAGACCACGAAGTGGCCTACAGTTGGCTCCGGGCATTCAAAATGTGGCCCAGTTCTGGGAATCGAAGAGCACGAAGTGGCCTGTTGGCTCCGGGAATGTGGAGTTCTGGGAGGTCGAAGAGCACGAAGTGTGTGACTGTATGCGAAAAACGATCCCGGCCGGCAAACCCCAACACCTCCCCAACGGGTGCCCAGACCCCCCTGTGGAGTAATGTGTTGCTCTCTTTTGACACCACTAGAAACCTACCAGTCTTCGCTGTTAGGTAAAAATACCCCCAAGATAATCAAAATTATCCCGGCAAAGCAACCTAACAGCGATGTGTAGAAGCATATCTGAAAGCATTCACCTTAAGATTCAGATGAAAATCCAGTTGTCGAATTCTGCTGTTCTCGCAGTCGTAGTCGCATTCGCGATGACAGTCGCAGCGGCAACGGCAGTCGCAGTCACAGCCTCAGCCTCAGCCTGCCTCCTCCTCCTCTTTCTCCTGCTCCTCCTCCTCCTCCTCCTCCTCTTCCTCCTGCTCGTCCTCGTTCTCGTCCTCCTCGTCTTGCTCGTCCTCCTCCTCCTGGTGCTCCTCTCCTCCTCCTCCTCCTCCTCCTCCTCCTCCTCCTGGTGGTCCTCGTTCTCCTCCTCCTGGTGCTCTCCCCCCCCCTCCTCCTCCTCGTCCTCCTCCTCCTCCTCCTCCTCGTCCTCCTCCTCCTCTCCTCCTCCTCCTCCTCCTCCTCCTCCTCCTCCTCCTGGTAGTCCTCCCCCTCCCCTCCTCCTCCTCCTCCTCTTCCGTCCTCGTTCCGTCCTCCTCGTCTTCCTCCTCCCTCCTGGTGTTCTCTCCTCCTCCTCCTCCTCCTCCTCCTCCTCCTCCTCCTCCTCCTCCTGGTGGTCCTCGTTCTCCTCCTCCTGGTACTCTCCCCCCCCTCCTCCTCCTCCTCCTCCTCGTCCTCGTCCTCCTCCTCCTCCTCCTCCTCCTCCTCTTCCTCCTCCTCCTCCTCCTCCTCCTCCTCCTCCTCCTCCTGGTAGTCCTCCCCCTCCCTCCTCCTCCTCCTCCTCCTCCTCCTCCTCCTCTCCTGGTCGTCCTCCTCCTCCTGGTCGTCCTCCTCCTCCTGCTCGTCCTCCTCCTCCTCTGCTCGTCCTTCTTCTCCTGCTCCTCCCTGCTCCTCTCCTGCTCCTGCTCGTCCTCGTCCTCCTGGTCTTGCTCGTCCTCCTCCTCGTCGTGCATGGAGTTCTGGGAACTCGAAGAGCACGAAGTTGCCTACAGTTGGCTACGGGCATTCAAAATGTGGCCCGGGAATGGAGTTCTGGGAACTCGAAGAGCACGAAGTGGCCTACAGTTGGCTCCGGGCATTCAAAATGTGGCCCGGGAATGGAGTTCTGGGAACTCGAAGAGCACGAAGTGGCCTACAGTTGGCTCCGGGCATCCAAAATGTGGCCCGGGAATGGAGTTCTGGGAACTCGAAGAGCACGAAGTGTGTGACTGTTGCATCCGGCCTCCAGAATGTGGCCCGGGAATGGCGTTCTGGGATCTCGAAGAGCACGAAGTGTGTGACTGTTGCATCCGGGTATTCAGAATGAGCCTGGGAATGGAGTTCTGGGAAGTCGAAGAGCACGAAGTGTGTGACTGTTGGCGAAAAACGAGCCCGGCACCCTGCCGCCCGGCAACTCCCAACACCTGCCCGGACCCCCCTGTGGAGTGATCTGTGACCTCTTTTTAGACCACTAGAAACCTATCAGTCTTCGCTGTTAGGTAAATAGTAGAAAATCGTCCCAAGACTGTTTCTGACTATTTTTGAATATTCCTGCTGTAGACAGACGTGCCCGACATAATACCAATATGTTTGAGTGCTGCGCATCCCAGACGGATGGCCGGGCACACCTCAAACTCGAAGGCGCCGACGGCGCCTTCGGGCTCGAGGCCGGGGCGGCCACCCGAGCCCAAGGAGGGCCGAATCCGAGCTCGATCCTCCCAGACCTCGGGCGACTTCGGTGCGCGCTGGGCGCAATGGAGCGGCGCAACGGCACCCAGCGCGCGCTCTAAACCGTCGAGGTCTAGAAGGATCAGCCGTCTCCAACGGCGGTGGTAGTGGAGAGTCGGGCCATGAGAAGTAGCCCATCTCCCACGCGTGCTTCGGGTCCGGGAGAAGGCCCAGGTACTGCTGGCACAAGCGCACCATCAGGTTGCTCGACACGCCGGATTCCACCAGCAGCACCTCCCCGTCTGTCGGCGGCACGCAGAAGGAGTCTTGGCGAGGGAGGCGCCCTGCTAAGAAGGCCCCCCCAAAAGCTTCTTCTCAAGAGGGCGCGGTGCGCATGTGGCCTTCGGGGGGAGGGGGGGGGGGGGGGGCAATTTATGGGGCAACCGAAAAGTACCAATACCTCTACTCCCCGGACCCTTCCCTAGCGAGTCCAGACGTGGTCACGAGAGCTTTCCAGGATGAGCAGCAGTGCAGCCGGACCTCGGACAGAAGAACGTCCTTCAAGAACATTAGCCCGTCCACTGGCCAAAACACCCCAAACCTGAAGATCGCTCGAGGGTGCCGTCCCAGAACACCCAACAAGCACGAAGAACACTAGAGCACCCTCGGACAGAAGAACGTCCTTCAAGAACATTAGCCCGTCCACTGGCCAAAACACCCCAAACCTGAAGATCGCTCGAGGGTGCCGTCCCAGAACACCCAACAAGCACGAAGAACACTAGAGCACCCTCCCCGAACCGAAATGATCTTATACCTCGGTCCGCCTGTATCGGAACCCTGTTCTCCTCTGAATATCCCCTAAGAGGCCCCCTGCCTCGCATGGGAGAGCGGCTGCGACTCGAGTGTGGCCTGGTATCGGTCGTCGTCGTCGTTGTCGTCGCCGCCGTCGTCTTTGTCGTCGTCGTCGTCGCCGTTGTCGTCGTCGTCATCGTCGTCGTCGTTGCGTAGGCGTCGTCGGCGTCCTCGTCGTCCTCTTTGGCGCAGGCAGGAACGCTCGGACGGCCACGCTGGAGTCGGCCGCCGGGCCCCCTCCCCTCCCAGCGCGCGGGGGCGCTTCCTGGGGCGCGCCCCCGCGCGCCCAGGGGCGCCCCACACCGCTGGACGGCGCCAGGGGCGCCGTCCAGCGGTGTGGAGAGGGGGGGGGTCCAAGCTCAGACCCAAGAAGTCTGCCCAGGCCTCCAAACATCTATGTTCATACTGCCCTATGCCCAAACAAAAGTGCATGTATATATAGCACACATGGGTACACCACACACACATATATATATATATATATATATATATATATATATATATATATATCCGCCGGCCCCCTTGTGGGGCCACCAGGCTGTAGGCCCGTGATTCGCAGTTTCCTGTACCAGTTCGTAGTTTGTAGTTTCCAGTGTTACAGTTCTGCTTCTTGCTGGTTACTGTAACTAGTTGATTGACCGCGCGAGGGGGGGGAGGCCCAAACCAGATTTTTAGCACCCCCTGGGCGCGTTGTCTGAATTGCTGGGGGGGCTCGAAATCGACACCCCTCACGCAGATCCGCGGGGTCAGGGTCCAAAAACACATGGGATTTGCCACATTTCTGAAATTCGGTGCCACCCCTCACGCAGATCCGCGGGGTCAGGGTCCAAAAACACAGGGGATTTGCCACATTTCTGAAATTCGGTGCCACCCCTCACGCAGATCCGCGGGGTCAGGGTCCAAAAACACAGGGATTTGCCACATTTCTGAAATTCGGTGCCACCCCTCACGCAGATCCGCGGGGTCAGGGTCCAAAAACACAGGGGATTTGCCACATTTCTGAAATTCGGTGCCACCCCTCACGCAGATCCGCGGGGTCAGGGTCCAAAAACACATGGGATTTGCCACATTTCTGAAATTCGGTGCCACCCCTCACGCAGATCCGCGGGGTCAGGGTCCAAAAACACAGGGGATTTGCCACATTTCTGAAATTCGGTGCCACCCCTCACGCAGATCCGCGGGGTCAGGGTCCAAAAACACATGGGATTTGCCACATTTCTGAAATTCGGTGCCACCCCTCACGCAGATCCGCGGGGTCAGGGTCCAAAAACACAGGGGATTTGCCACATTTCTGAAATTCGGTGCCACCCTTCACGCACATCCATCGCAAGGCGTGGTAACCCAAACTGCGAGAACTCCCTCGGCCCTTTAATCGCAAGGTGTGGTAACCAAGCCCGTAAACCATACACGTCTTACCAATCGCCAGGTGTGGTAACCCCTCTTGTGATCAGTTGGTTTTGCTGATTGCGAATCGGCTTCGCATGAAGTTTCGATACTGCTTCACGACAGCGCCAAGGCCTCATGACTTAGCTCTTCCATGGCCCATTCTCCGAGAGAGGGGGCCGGCGGCAGGGGGCGAAGCCCTTACGGATATATACACATATATAAATATATAGACACAAGCATACGCATACATACATACATATATATGTATGTATCTTATTGTTGTGCGTATGATGCAGGAGGGCCCGTAGCCATCCTCCATCACGGTGTTTGCTTACCTCCGTCCTCATTGTACTCCTCCTCGACAAGTCCCGCGCATCATCCATGCAATCAGTCTCTTTCACCTCGTCCATCCCTTTTCGCCGTCGTCATTCGATTCATCCTCATTTCATCACCATATGCCATAAGGGCATCCAGCAAAAAACACCATACAGTCGGCCCGTGTATCATCAGGATGCACGATAAGCAAGGGCCTTGGAAGACCATTTTGAAGCTTTTCGAGCGGGGCGCGGCCAGCGAAAGCGGTAGCGGATGCAAGGGCACCTTTGGGAAGGTTGCCCATCCTTACTATGCGGGTTGACTGTAGTGAGTTGAACGTCTGAACCCAATCGAACCAGAACACCATAGCACAGCGAGTCGCATCTCTCAGCCAATTCGAAATAGAACTCCATCGTGCGCGCTACCAGATGGCGCTGCCCGATCGCGCCGCCAGGCCTGGGGAGACGCCTTCCCCCGGCCCCCCCTCTGGTGAGAGGAACTGTTTGAACTCTGCTGCCAACCCTCTAGCGAAACGCTACAGTACGGGCCCGACCACAAGAAACCTTGCACAGGAAACCCAGCCCTGATACCCCAGGAGGTCCATTGATGTATGGTGTGGGAACGTCACGCCTTCCACTTCCATAGCAAAATCATCGAAACCCAAGAAACCCAGGACACCATTGAGGCGAGCAGGGTGTTTATCGGTATGGGTCTCCAATGTACTGGGGAAGTAGCATGCACAAATCATGTGAAAAACAACATTGTTCCAATGAATTGGGGAGCATCTTGTGCTGGCACCCTGGCACCCCGGTCCTCCAAGACAGCTCAAAAAGGCAGCAAGAGATTCCAAGCACGGTCTCTTGAGGCTATCGCAAGGCTTCTAAGCCTTATGAACGTTTCGTCGAAGGCTCTGGGGGAGGTGGGACGTTGGAATAGGTTTAGGCTGACTTTGCTTTCCAGAAGCTGACGCCGACCCGGCAAGCGCCAAAAACACCCAAACATACCCAAGAATTCCGGCGCATTGCAATTGTTAGCCTGGGCCCTCATGAATCCCAAAACCGTTCCAGCATTCAGACCCGTGTGAGCGGCGAGGTACTCCACGTATGTACCTGCTGAAGGGCTGCGTGGGCGGAGGACCAAACGTCTGTTTTCAATTCTCAGAAGGCCGCCCCCCTCACTGAAGCCAACCCAAATTTGGTCAGAGCAGATGGAATCGGAGGATCGCGCCACGTCGTCGATGCATCGCCGACGCATCCGCGATACCTCGGAGACGTGGGCGATACAGCAATGCATCGGCGACGTCAGTGTGGAGAGGATCTGGCGCAACATCGAGCCTCATCCGGCGCGACCCTCCGACCCCATCTACTCTGGCCCCATCTGGAGTTCCTGTGTCATAACTCAATTCTCCGGCGGCCTTTCGGGATGATCTGGGCCCCCCCGGAACATTCTCGGCGAGGCGCAGCTGCAGGAGAGCATCCCGAGGCTAGAACTCCAAGAGCCGACGAAAACCATTGAAAATCTCGAATGTCCTGTGAAAGTCTGTTCTCAGAAGGCCCCCCCCTCACCCCGACTCCGTATGCGTGCCGCCGAGGGCTGGTCTGCAGACCCGTGCCATCTCCTCCAGCGCCACGGAGGGCCGCTCCAACGAGCAGAGGGCTCAGGCACCGCCAGGAGGACCCCGCGGGGGATTGTGTTCTGTTGGTTCTCATGCCGCCGCCACGTCAGCACATTGTCCTGACGAGGGCCCGACGGCCGAGATGTAGACACTCGCCTACGGACAAGGAAAGGGCCGCCTACCCCTCGATCCTTGATCCTCAGGGCCCCAGCATCTGGCGCCTCGAATGATCCGATGCGTTGACCCCTGGTTCGACCCGTTCCCTAGGGCCAGCTTTTCATCCTGCGTGGCTCTGTGGCAGTCAGGAAGACCCAAACCAGCCTCTATAGGCCGCAAACCCAATCCTCTGACGACCCGAAAGTATAACATCCAAAGTGGGGATATTGTGTTCTCTCGACGCCCCGCGCAGTCCTCCTCACCCAACACCCCTTTCCTACTCTCATCGCACACACTCGCACACTCACTCATACATTCCACGTCCACACGCACTCACACGCACTCACACACTCTCACGCACACTCATCTTGAGGAAGTCTCGAGCGGGAGCCTCGTTTGTGAGTGACTCGCGAGGGATTCTCGAGCGGGAGCCCCTCCCTACGGGGTCCCTACCTCCATATTCGAATCCGGGCGGGGTTATCCAAACCATGTAACTGGTATCACTTTTGGGCCCCTCATGCCTGAATCTGGAAGGGTCTCGAGCGGAAGCCTGGTTTGTGAACGAATCGCGAGGAAGTCTCGAGCGGGAGCCTCTCCCTATGGGGTCCCCGCTTCCATGTTCGAATCCAAGCGGGATCATCTTAACCCAGTAAGTGTCACGACTTTTGTGGGGCTCCTCAGGCCTGAGTCTGGAGGAAGTCCAAAGCGGGAGCCTCGTTAGTGAGCGAGTCAAGTCCCGAGCGGGAGCCCCCTCCCTATGGGATCCCTGCATCCATGTTCGAATCCGCGCGAGGTCATCCAAGCCCTGTAACCGTCGTCACTTTCGGGCTCCTCTGGCCTAAATCTGGAGGAAGTCCAAAGCGGGAGCTTCGCTCGTGAGCGAAGCACGAAGAAGTCCCGAGTGGGAGCCCCCTCCCTATGGAGTCCCCGCCTTGATGTTCGAATCCACGCGAGGTCATCCGAGCCCTGTGACTGTCGTCACATTTGAGTCTCCTCAGGCCTGAATCTGAAGGGGTCTTGAGCGGGAGCCTGGTTTGTTAGCGAATCGCGAGGATGTCTCGAGCGGGAGCCTCTCCCTATGGGGTCCCCGCCTCTGTGTTCGACTCCAAGCGGAATGATCTAAACCTTGTGACCGTCATCTCTTTGGGGCTCCTCAGGCCTGAATCTGGAGGAAGCCTCGAGCGGGAGCCGGGTATGATAATGAATCGCGAGGAAGACTCGAACGGGAGCCCTCTCAGTACTCTGAGTTCTCCACCTCCATGTTTGAATCCGAGCGGGTCATCGGCTTACTGTAGCAAGCATAATACTTGAGCTCCCCAGGGGTTCAGATCGTGGGGAAGTCTCGAGCGGGAGCCTCGTATGTAAATCGCAAGAAGTCTTGGGAGCCAGGGGCGTACAGGTTACAAATGTTCCACAGGTCCAGCAGACCAAACAAGACTCACAGGGCCAACGGATCCCACAGGTCGCACAGGTCCAAAAGGTCCCGCACGGCCCACCTGTCCAAGGCCCCACATGTCATATTGGTCTCACAGGTCTCACAAGTCTCACAAGTCCCACCGGTCCCACAGGCCGCACAGGTCGCACAGACTCCACAGATCATACAGGACCCACAGGTCATGTACGTCCCACAGATCCCACAAGGATCGCAAGTCTCACAAGTCCACAGGTCCCACAAACCATACAGACCGCACGGATTTCACGGGCCCCACAAGTCTAACAGGTCCCACAGGCCGCACAGGTCCCACAGGGCCCACGGGTCCCAGAGGGCCCACAGGTGCCCTAGGTCCCACAGGCTTCACAAGTCTCACATGCCCCACAGGTCGCACAGGTCCCGCAGGCTGCACAGGTCCCACAGGTCGCACAGGTCCCACATGCCCTGCAAGTCTCAAAGCCCCAAAGGCCCCACATATCTCAACGGCCCCACAGATCGCATCCTGGTGTCCGGACACCCTGGTATCCTCACCATCGGTAGTCGACGATGATGATGACGACTCCCATTAGCACCGTGAGTGATCGAGTCACTCAGGTTATGGTAATGATATGATCTTGGATTTAGAACAACGGCCCCGGATTTAGAAAATCTGTTTTTGAATTTAGTAAGCAGGTTTCTGCGTTAACAAAAATGATGCTTTGTCTTGTTTTGATGAAGCGGCACAATTGAATAAATCCGTTTCTCGCTTTACTGGATCATCGCTGTTTTAAGAGTGCGCGTTCATTCCCATGACCTATGTGAGCCGGTGGATGAGAAAACTCTCATGTGAGCAACGGATAGAAAAAGGGTCTTACGCGAGATGCCACAGCGACCTTGCGGTGACTAACACGGGTCATCAACGAAGCACGCTGCATTGGCGGCGAGGGCGCTTACACTTGGGCTGACGCGGGCAGCCTACGCGCCAATGTCGGGGCAGACGACCCCGTTTTCTTTGTTTCGCCCATGCGGGGTCCTTCCGTCGGAGTTTGTTTTGCTTGCATGCTCGGGACCCCCAGACCTCTCGACCCTCTCCCCGTGACCAGTCTTCGTCCCGAGAACTTAGCTTCACACCGGGCATGTCCTCCCACAGGCGGATCTTGAAACAAAAACAAAAATAGTCAAAACAGATTTCAAAAGTTGCAAGACGTAGTAAAAATATCGTCCCCAGACTAGTCCTCCTGTAGAGGGACGCGCCCCCAACTTAAAATCAGCTCCTCGACAGCCCCAGGCCCCGAACACAAAAATCAGGTCGGGCAGGTCCCCCTACAGGGGAATCTTGGACGAAAAATCAAACATGGTCAAACCATGTTCAAACATAACTAAAAAATGTTCAACAAATCGTCCCCAGATTAGTTTTCCCCTATTTTTTTATATATTCTTCCTGTAGAGAGACATGCCCGACATAACACGAAAAGGCCCTCTACGGCATCCGAGGCGACCGAGAATCCTCCGACGCGATTCCTCCGAGGACCCTGCATGGCAAGACGAAGCTCGGGCGAGGATATAAAACCGGGCGAGGATAAATCGAGAATCTCTGAGATCGGGCGGCTCTGGAGGATATCGGCCCGTATCGTAAGGATGCGAGATAAGAATGAAAGTGCCTCGGACGCCCACTGCGAAGCTTTCCGATCGGGGAGCGGCCAACGAAAATGGCCAAGGATGGACCGAGAAGGCAAGGATGCAAGGGTACCTTTGGGAAGGTTGACCATCCATACTATGCGGGTTGACTGTATCGGGCACCGCGGCCTTCTCAGGGCTTTCTGGAGCGACTTATCCTCGTCTTAGCACCGCCCGAAATGGTGAAGCCCCTTGGCGCTGCCTGGGAGGCACAGGGTCCCGACCACTGTGTCGAAGGACGCGTCCGGAAAGGGCAGCCGGTGGGCGTCGGCCCGGAGCACGCGGGCCGGAAACGGCAGGGCCCCGAGCTTGGGGCGAGCGACCTGGCAGGGCGTTCCCAAGGCTCCCAGGACGCGCTGGAGGTGAGGCGAGGGCAGGATGGGGATCAAATCCCCAGGCATGCTCGCATCATGGAAGAATCACGACGGAAGGTGTTTGTTGTTATTTTCGATCTTTGGGGGTATTCGAAACATCAAGACGTCGCACGTCGGGCTTAGGTCTGGGTGAGGATCTTAGGTCGGCAGTCTCTGTAAGCTGGCGGGTCTGGGGAATGTGTCGGGCGCCGCGGCCGTTCCGGAGCGCCCTGGGAGCGTCCCGGGGCGCTCTGAAGCGATTCGTCCTCACCCTGGGCCTGCCCGCGAAGGATCGGTCTGGGGCTCCGGCGTCCGAGCCCGTTCGGGCACTGAGTGGGCAGCCGAGTGGGCACAACTCCGATACCATGGCGAGAATTCTGAGCCCGCTCGGCCGTCGAATGGGTTCAATCGCGGGCACGTTCGTCAGGCGAGCGGGTTCCGACGCCGAAGTGGCTCAGAGGGAAGCCCTGGGGCCCCGGGGTCTGTGTCCCTTGCCCCCCTGGAAGTAGCCATCGCGGGGGCGCAAGGACCACAGGTCCCCCAGGGGAAGAGAAAAACTAAATTCTTTCGTTGTTCGTGACATTGTTCGGCGGCCGCAGGTGATACCGACCCAATGCAGGTCTGACTTTTCAAAACCTGGCAGGGGGTCAGAATCCAAAAGAAGTCTACAGCCAAAAGGGCCCCTGCAGCGGTTTCCAATGTCGACCAGACCCACACTTGTATACGGTTCTCAAGCGCGTGCAAAACCAGAGCTCCGCCGTTTCATATATCTCAGGGCTGTTTGTTTTCCACAGTTTGCCATCAACGGGGGGCGGCAGCGAGTTTCGGGGCAACGACAGAAAAGACGCCCTAGGATGGACAGAAAACGTGAAAAAATCGAGAGGGTCGAGAAGGTCTAGACGGTCGGAAGGGGTTGTGACGTGATGCTTTTCTGCCAAGACAGTGGCTTGAAGACAAATGCCAACCGCGACGCGAACGGATTCAAACCTGCTGCTGCTAGATTTGCGGCGTGCCGGCCCATCCGCTGTCGATGCGGCGTTCAGTGTAACTGTTGGGGAATGCGACAACCGTTCACCACTACGGCGTGCCACACTGCAAAGCTTGCACAACATAATTACGCTTTGGATGCATGATCTGATGTTGTGGGATAAGCCCCACCAGCCCTTTAGGGCGTAGGTGGTCTAGGAAGCTTCCTCTTCCAACTCCCTTCTTCCCCTTCGGGGAGGGCTCCCACAATGTCTCAGGATGCCCCAAGATCGCTCCACGACGGCTCCAAGTGGCCAAAGAGCTCCCCCTGGAGGCCCCGAAGAGGCCCAAATCCTTCCCAAACCTGAAGGAAATCCATGTTCTTGACTGTCTCGCCTTTTCGCTTCCCATGGTCATCCGAGGCCTCAAGATGGCTCCAAGATGGCCCAATAGGGCCCCAAGAAAGGCTCAAGAGAGCCCCAAGACGACCCCAAGAGCAGTTTGAAGGGGGCTGGGAAGCCCAGCCAGCAGATTCGCCTTAGGCGAAGCCAAGCTCCAGCTCTGTTGTACCGTAGTAACGATAGTCCCACTAGGAGAGGATGTGCCATCTTAAGCAATAGGAATATTGGTCTCGATAGCAAGTGTGTGCCTCGCGGTGAGGCACAGTCATATTTGGGCGGCCGGCCGCTTGAGCCGATTCATGCCATCGAAGGCGCCATGTGTCCAGGTTCGATATGTCCAGGCACTTGGTAAACGCCGACCTGTGTCTGGCGCGCCGTGGTCGCCGTTCCACTTCGCGACCAGCGCGACGGGGTGCAAGAGAAGCTGGTGGGGCTCTCGTTCAAGCAATTCCGTGGGGCGGGGTTTACGAGCACTCATGGGCGTTGGTTCGGTTCGCTGTGAGCATGCGTTTTCTGCTTTCGCGTCTTCACAAAAGTTCGCGGGCCCCGCTCTATCGGCCGCATTCATCGGCCGGATTTGCAGGGGCGCCCGCCCACTGTCATCGCGTCGCAGTGCCCGGCAAAGCGGAACTGGCCCCAGCGCATCATGGTCGGCGCCTGCCACGCACCAGGCCTTCTCCGAAGCGAGGCAAATGAACTGGAACCGTTCGGCGCGGCTCGGCGCCCTGCAACGGGGCCGGCGGACCAACGCTGATTGCGCTGCCCGGGTCTGCTTGGAGCGCCCGCTTGCCCTTCAGAGCGGGCGGTCCGCCGCGCCTCTCGGCGCCCTCGCTGCCTTTTCGGCAAATTGAGAGAGTAATCAAGTTTGCCGAGGCCTGGTCCATAAACTGACTGACCGCTCTCGCTTTTTTTGCTCTCTCTCTCTCTCTTTCTCTCTCGCGTTCTTGACTACGCGCTGCCCCCGCCCTCGGTCAATTCACGGGCTAGCGCTCCACTCGCCTCCGCTTTCAACTACCCTCCTTCCTTCGCGGGGAGCCTCTGGATTCCCACCTGAAGCTCCATCTGGGCCTTGCAGCTCGCCCCCTGTCTCGCGCCACGCCGACATGGGGAATTGCTGTGTCACCGCGCCTCCGTGACGAGGTCGCAATGGCCCGCGCCTTTGGAATGCAACAAAATAGCGGGGCAGCGTGCAAAGGCGCCCCTGCCGTGCATCTCGGCGCACATGGTGCTACAGCTCGAGCTGTGGGCGAACGCCTTGACGGAGAACTCGACAACCTTGGTCGCGGCCATCATGGCGGGACCGTCGGTAAAACTCACCGATTTTCGCCGCTAGCGCAAGGCATTCGCCGCAGAATGTGCTATCCGCTGCGCGCCCATCCAAGCCAATGCGCCCATCCAGGCCAAGGCCACTGCGAGGCCGTCTTCGTCGTGTGCCGTCGTCGCCCCCAGCGCCTCTACGACCTTCTCTCGCAGGGCCAGGGCGCTCTTGAAGTCTTCCTCCTGTCAGGGAGCCTCCTCCCGATCTTCAACTGATGGAGTGGGTGCCAAGAACCTCGGTGGTCGTTCGGCAGGTCTCTTTCCGAAACCTTCCTCCCGACTACCACTTCATGATGTGGGGGGCAAGAGGCTTAGTGATCGTTTGGAAAGTTTCTGCTCGTTGCCGGCTTTTAACCAAGGGAGCCCGTTGCCTTCCGTGCACCTGTACTGGAACTCGGGGTCTTCCCCTCGCTAGAACCCTGCGCGGAAACCACGGTTGCTGGTCCAACATCGAATCACGGCTTTCTCGCCACCGTGAACACGGGCGCCAGACTTTTTTGAATTCGTTCAAACCAGTTTTACGTATGCCAACCTTCGTGCATCTGCGGACTCATGGGGAACTTTCACAATCTCTGCCTTCTGTTCCGCAGCCAATTTGGGCTTTCTGCTTGAATCTGCCAAGGACGATATCGCTACAGAACTGCACCTGGTGTTTGAGAGTTCCGATCCAAAAAGTAAAGCGCTCCGTGGCGCGGCCGTCTGCCGCGCGCTCACTGGCGCCACGTTGGTGGCCAGACAGGCAAGGCAGGCCACGCAGGCCACGTTGGCATTAGGGGGAAAGGGGAGAGAGGGAGGAGGAGGAGGAGGAGGAGGAGGAGGAGGAGGAGGAGGAGGACGAGAAGGAGGAAAAGGAGGAGGAGGAGGAGGAGGAGGAGGAGGAGGAGGAGGAGGAGGAGGGGGACCAGAGTAATGAAGCCCGAGAAAGGAAAACGGATTTGAGGAGGGGGGGTGAGGGAGCCGCAAAAGGAGGCGGGGGAACGGGACCCAGACCCCCGACGTCGGGATTGTTCCATGACGTGGGCCAACATGAGGTCTGGACCTCACTCCCAGGGACTGGCCTTGGAATCCCGAAAGCGTTTTTGACGACCCCAACGCCCGCCCAGGGCCCACACAAGCAGAAAAACGATAAAGACCGTCCGTCGAATGTTTTGTTGCACGACGCGAAGGGGTCTGGGGAGGAGGACACGGGAGGCTGGGAAGAAGGGAGACGGGAGGCAAGGCTGGAAGGGGGAGGGGGGCTGGGAGGAGGGGAGCTGGGAGGAGGGAGGCTGGGAGAAGGGGGGCCTGGGAGGAGGGAGGGGGGCTGGGAGGGGGGGGGGGGCTGGAAGGAAGGGAGATGCAATGCAAAGGAGGGGTCTCCCGCACTCTGGTGCCGACCCCACGATGCGCGGGACCATCAGCGCCACGCCAGTTGCGCCCCTTGGCTGCCGCGGCCAGACGAAGAGCGTCATGAGCGCCACCACCACGCATGTTCCCGACTCCCCCGGACGCCCTTGAATCGCGAAAAAAATCACGACGAACTGTGTTGATACTATTTTTCAGCGTCTGGGAGCCTTCGCCGGGCCCGGGGACCATCGAAAAGCGGCTCGGGATGTAAAGCTGGTCCCCGGGCAGGGTTCCAGACCTCTGGGGGACCACGCAAAATCATGACGTCGAGGGCCTGGGTCCGGCGGCCCCCGATGACGGGAGGCGGCCGGACCCGCCCGTGGAGCCCTCGGCGATGCTCCCCAGCGGGCGGCTGGATGTAGGAGGAGGCGGGGGTGGCGTGGCCGCGACGTCACTGCTTGGTGGAGGATGGGTAACGTTGTAGGGGGTGATCGGGTCGGGTACGTCCCTGCCGACCTCTGCCCACCTGGGATCGAGAAATCGTACTTGCTGCCTGGGCCCGCTCGCGCAAAGGCTGCCTGAAGCTTCGGGTCATCGGGGCCCACTAGCTTGCCGAAGAAAAAGTGGGGGTGGCGAGCAGCAGCGCGGAGGGGAGGCCCCCGAAGTCGAAGAAAGGAGCGTCAGGCGCTCCTCATGCCGCGCGGGGGGGAGGCTTCTCCGGCCTGGCGCCCTTCGAAGCCAAAACTTAGGTCAAAGTGGCTTGGGCCAGAATAGCGAGGAGGAGGAATGGAATGGAATGGCGCGTTGCGAAATCCCGATGCGCCTGAGGCCGCCCCCTGAACTCACCCGCGAAGTGGACGAACCAGAAGACGGACCCCAGCGAAGGGCGCATGACCAAAGCCTGGAGAAGACGGGAAGACGGGCATCGCCGTGCATACCTCAGATGCAGACCTCGCCACACAGAGATAACGTAGCAAACTTGGCTGACATGAACTCGGCTCGATACGGTCCTGCTACGATTTGCACCACAAGTAGTCGGGCAACCTCTCACTTATGTCATAAAGATCGCTTCCTCCACAGACAGCCTCGCAAGATAACAACCAAATGTGTGGTTTCTTCCCTCGAACACCCAACCATTGACATAGAGAGAGGACAACACGCGCCAAGCCACGTCTCGCCACGTATATCGCCGCCGAAGACGAACAGGACTTCGCCCAGCAACGAACGCGCTGTAGGAAAAAGGGATGCCGATCAAGAGGCCCAGGAATGCACCAGAACCGAGAAAACACGAATTCGCGTGAACAGCCATGGCCCAAGCACACACCAGAGCCGCTGCCCCCTTGTGCCATGCGTGTTATTCTCACATTTGTAACTGAAGACATGAGTAGCACAATGAACTGTAACTGGTGGCGGTCGGGGCGGGCGCCGCTTCCCACACCGACACGACAGCATCTTGATTGTAACCTCCGCACACAATGTGCAACAAAGACCTATGCCCAGGATGCCCAAGAACGCAAATCAACTCAACCAGATAACGAAAGCGATTGCAAAGCACCACCATGAACAACTCCATACCCACCCCAGGCGGGACTGGGAGATACACGCAATGAAGCTGATGATGCCAGGTGATAGCAACAGGGATTGCAGTGCACCACCAGACAATTCCACATGCCTGGTGCGGACGTCGCCTGCTCGACTCCATGCATGAATGCCCGAATTCGCTGTTTTGCCACCGGGATCGGCTGCGCAAGCCGCGGCGCGGCAGACCCGGTGCCTTTCAAGCGCCGACGTGGAGGCGTAGGCGGGACATGACTCGGTGCAGCCCAAGCGGGTGCGGAGTCTTGGTCCACCTGTGCTCGAGCCAAAACGGCTTGAGCCAAAATGGCTTGAGCCAAGGAGGAGGAGGAGACGGAGGAGAGGCGGAGGAGGAGGAAGAGGGTGAGGAGGATCGCGAGCGGCGACGGAATGTCCGCAGCCGGTAGCAGCAGCAGGTACATATATGCGATTACTGCCTTTGTGTACACCTTCATGGCACCGCACCCTGCCGCGTGGAGCAACGCTCGCGGTGCAAGCTGAGGGCTCCCGACTTCGTCGTGACGGGGCATTTCTTCGATACCAAGCAGGAGGGAGCGGAAGAGCGGAGGCGCCGGTTCCGGGCACCGGGGGTGCCCGTGCCCTTTGGGCAAGGCGCAAGAGGCCGTAGCCTCAGACCGTAGCCTCAGACCAAGCAGGAGGGAGGGAGGGAGGGAGGGAGGACGAGGGAGAGAGGAATTGAGGGAGGAGGAAGGGAGGGAGGAAGAGAGGGGAGGGAGGGGATGGGGAGGGGAGGGGAGGGAGGGGAGGAACCTCCAGCATCGCCTCCACCACGTCGACGCCAGTGTAGCTGCGTACCTCGCCCCCGCTCTCCAGCGCCTCGAAACAGCGGCCGGTCCCCACGGCCACCTTCAGCGCGCCGCCACCGCCGCCGCCGTCGAGGCTTCCCAGTCGGTGAAGCGAGGGGAGGACAAGGAAGAAATCCCCAGGCGTGCTCGCGGCGTGGAAAAAATCACGACGGGAAGTGCTTGCTGCTAATTTCCTGCCTCTGGGGGACCTCGCTGGGCCCTGGGACCGTCAAGAAACGACTCCGGATGAAAAATCGCTCCCGGGGAAGAAGTCGAGACCTCTGTGGGCCGACGTTGGAAAAAAAAACAAGACATCGCATATCTCGGAAGGCAGGATGAGGATTACGCTGGGGAGCTTTTGCTTCGCGTGTCGCGGCAGCGGCCCTGGAGGCAAGCCATGTCTTGCAAACCGCGCCGCTTAGAGGAGCGGGAGGCTGGGGAAGACTCGGGACACTGATGAGTGGGGGCTGGGAACTGGTCAGAGTGTCGCGCCGAAGCGTGGCGGGCCAGAACTGGCGGCTCGACACGCTGAGCCAAAGTTCCTCGCAGTAAATCCCACCCTCGGATCACGCCCTCAGAAGCGACGAGAACGACTGCCCCAAGCATACTCTGATATGTTTTTTCAGTTTGCGGCCCCAGGACTCCCGGCCCCTTCCCCAGGGTAGCATTTGCGTCGTGGATACGTTTTCGATGGCCCCAGGGACCCAGATACGCCGTCCCCCCATGACGATATTGAGTCAGAAACGCCGCGACCGAAAAGAACGTATCCCCCCAAGGTTTGGGTTGCCGTCGTCGCCGTCGCCGTCGACGTCGACGTGGCCGTTGCCGACTCCGCCGACGACCACGACGACGAAGCTTCGTCGTCGTCGTGGCCAGCGGCCAGCCGCCGCGGCCTCCAGCACGTCGCCCCGCGCTGTGCGCACGTGCTCGTTGCGGCCCCGCTCTGCGGCGCTGCCCCTCTCCACCTCGCCGATGGTGGAGTCCCACGAGGGGGCCAGCCAGGAGAAGACCTCTCGATGGTTCGCAAGGGCGTGCCTGCGCCAACGTGTGCTTGTCCAGGGAAGTCCTCGAGTACGACGCAGGCGGCGCAGCGAAGGCAGAAGCTTGAGAACTGAGCCGGGTACATACACACACACACACATGCACACACACACACACACACGCACACACACAGACGCACACGCACGCACGCACGCACGCACGCACGCACGCACGCACGCACACACACACACACACACACACACACACACACACACACACACACACACACACACACACGCACACACACACATACACACACACACACACACACTTTGGTCGTCCGCGGGCGGGCGCAGCGCCACGCCGTCCAAAGAAGTCGCAGGCGCACACGTGCCAGAAAAAGCAGGCAAAGAAAAGGGGACAGTCCTTCACGTGGCAGCGGTGGGCTGTGGTAAGCGGGCAGCAGCGGGCAGCAGCGGGAAGGGCGCCGGAGGCGCGGGCGGGGCAGCGGGGCAGGCGCCGGCGGGCTGGCTTGGCAGCAGAGACACACGCACACACCCACACACATACACACAAACACACACACACACACAAAAAAAAAAAATCACACACACACACACACACACGCACAGTGGGCTAACACACGCCCTGCGGATCATCGAATCCTCGCGGGGAGGGCGACAGGAGCAAGGCAGCTCTTCAGCCAGGGCCGCGATGGAGGAAGGCAGCCCTCCTGTCCGGGGCGCGGCCATCCGACGCGCCCCCCGCGTGTGATACCACGGGCGTGCAGGGCCGCATGGGGTCGCCGCCGCGTCGGCACGCGGACCTGCCGTGGCAAAGGGGGACGAATCAGCTGCACGTGACTGGCTTTCCTGGCGCCCTCGGCGCCGGAGGCGGCAAACGTGTCAAGAGAAGGGCCCGGCGGAGGGACCGAGACCAGCTGCGTGCGGCGGCTTTCGTGACCCCCCCTCTCCCTACACCCCCACCCCCCTTCGCCCGACCCGAACCTCGAGCCTCTGGGCCTCCGTGGGCATACCGTAACGCGCCCGGAAGTCCTTGGCGCTCTTCTCGCTGTCGGCGTAGTACCTCGCTGGCGACGAACAGGATATCAATGTCCATGCCCTCGCAGTCTGGATTATCCCATAGATACGCGATCCCATGGATGCGTTCAGACCGCGAGGCCATGGATATGGATATGCTTCCCGCCAACGGGTACCAGCGGTAGGTCTTCCCCATGCCTGCCATGATCAGGGCGTTAGAAGCGACGCCCGTGGTTATACCGCCGACCCAGTGATACCACTTGAACTGGCTGGCGTTGCGCATGAAGCCCGCCATGGCTGCACTTGGCTGCTTGCAGTCGATGTGCTGGTAACTACGCGATCCATCCCACTGGCACACTTGAGCCTACACGGAACGCACTTGAACCACAACGGATGGTGGGACCAGGAACAACAGGATAATCCCACAGGCCATCCCTCTCCTTTCTCCTTCTCCGTCGTCCGCCCTACTCATTCTTCTCATCCCCCTTCCTTCTCCTCCTCCTCCTCCCCCTCCTCCTCCTCCTCCTCCTCCTCCACCTCTTCCTCCTCCTCCTCCTCCTCCTCCTCCTCCTCCTCCTCCGCCTCTTTACCCTTTTCCTTGTAAACAAGTGGCGCGCGTGCCATGGTTTTTGCACATAAGGAGGACGCGGGGGAGGACGTAGGGGAGGAGGGGAAAAGGAATGACAAGGAAAAGAGACAGAGGAGAAAAAAGGGGAGGATCATGGGGGGCAAAACGAAAAACAAACAGAGGGCGACGGAGGGAAGGAGGACAAGATTGACGAAGGATGGCGCGGCGCTGGTGCCGCGATGTGCCGTGCCGGAATGAAATAATCGAGGCGCAGGGGGCGCACTGCCTTGGAGGCAAGAAGGAACTGGGCTGGCTGCAGGGGGCCAAGAGGAGGAGCGGGGCTGGCTGCGGGGCGGGGGAAAGGCGGGCGCGGTGTCCGTGCCGTGCCGTGCCGTGCCGGAACACAACAATCGAGTCGTATGGGGCGCACCCGCCGGGGGGGGGGCGAGGAGATGGGCTGGCTGCGAGGGACGAGGAGGAGGAACGGACCTGGCTAGGGGGAGCGCGGTTCCGGTGCTGGTGCCGTGCCATGCCAGAAACAATAGTCGGGGCGGAGGGGGCGCGCCGGCTGGGGGGGGCGGGGGGGATGGGCTCGCTGCGGGGGGCGAGGAGGAAGAGGAGCTGGGCTGGCTGGGGGGGGGGAAGAGGGGGCGCGGCGCAAGTGCCGCGCCGTGCCTGGGCTGGCTGCTGGGGGGAAGGAGGAGGAGGAGGAGGAGGAGGAGGAGGAGGAGGAGGAGGAGGAGGAGCCCAGCGTAGGCGGAGGAGGAGGAGGGGGAGGAAAACGAGCAAGCAAGCAAGCAGTAACTATATGACCCATGGAAGCTCTACACATCACGTGCAGCAGAAAGTCGGATCTAGGTGGCCTAAGATGGCAGCCTCCTCATGGGTTACTCCCGCGGGCGGGGCACGCACAGGCCCAGGGACCGCCCAGTGAGGCGATGGCCTCTCGGGGGCCAGCGGCGCTGCCCGTCCACAGCAGGAAACCCACTCAGAGCTAAGGCGCTCCCCCCCCCCATCCCACGCCCTCTCGGCTTCGCTGGGGGTCTGGGCACAAAAACTCGACCCGCGTCCTCTGCAACGCAGTCTACAAGATGCTGGTCAGTGCTCTGCGTGAGCGCAGGCAGCCTCGCCTCCGAAACAATGCCCCTCACCTCAGAAGTAGCCGCCCCCCAAAAAACTCCACGGACCTGGAGCTCGAGGTAGCCAACGCTTCCTGCAAACGCCGCGGGTACAGGGGCCGTCTGTGGGGTATCCGATTCCCACCTCTGGCAGGTCCTGGGAATTGCATTGGCGGCGCGCGGACGGACTCACGAGCAGGCGGCCTCACTCCTTGCACCTCAAGAAGACCTCCCCCAGGCTGCAAAGTCAGCGAATCCGCCGGCAGAGCCTCCTGGCGGACGCCATGCCCCGACGGATCCGAACCAGAGCACGCCGGCGCTGTTACGACACCCGGCTGGCGTTGCCCAGACGGTTATGACGCGGGGCGCGCCAACGCCTTTACGACACTCGGCGCCGTTACGGGTCGTGGCCGGCTTTGCTCCATGGGATCAGAAGCCGATGGAGAAGATGCCAGGATATGCTGCAGGCCTCCAGGACCAGGTGAAGACGAACCGCCTCCATGCAAGGACGATGCCGCGAATTGTGAACATGGCGCATGCCATGCCAACTCCAGAGATGACAATGCCACTGGTGTAGATGCTGCTTCTGACATTGGGCCCAATGCCCCCGTAGCACACGATGGTACCGTCACCCTCCAGGGCTCATGGCCCCCCCATTTTCCCTCCAGACGCGCCAAGAGTTTGGCCGCGTCCCTCTGCCCCGTACTTGCGCGCGGCTTTGATGTGGGTCATGTCCGCGATGATCGCCTCCTCGAACGGCTTGTGGCTGGCGTCCACGGCCAGCGTCAGGCGCATGAGCTCGGGTTTCTCATCTTTCTTGCGCGTGGGCGTCACGCGGCACGCGGAGGAGGAGGAGAAGGAGAAGGAGAAGGAGAAGGAGAAGGAGAAGGAGAAGGAGAAGGAGAAGGAAAAGGGGCCTGCTTGCTTGCTCTCGCCTGTGGAACGATGAACTGCATGAATACAACCGCTCTCAGAAATAACAGTTCTAGGTACGTCTACGCTCAGGGCACGGGTCGTCCAAGGACCGAACGGGCCGAGGAGGGCCGAGCGGGACCTGGCTGAGCAGAACGGGAGGCCGAGCCGAAGGCCGAGGGCCACGACCAAAGAGGGGGAAAGGGAGGCGAAGAGGAACGAGGCCAAAAAACTAATAACGCGTCCGCCATCCACACCCGAAGGCAGATCTTTGACAGATGCACGAGGCCGCACTGCCATAGCTCAATGGCTACAGCGCAGCGCCCGCGCTCCGAGCTCGCCAAACCCTCATTCACTACTCAACGAGATCACAGTCTTCATCTTGGGGAAGCGAGGAGGAGTGGATGTCCTCCTCAGCGTTGTCTTATCTTTGAGGGCGTCGATCCAGGCCGAGATCTAGCCCTCCAAGTCTCCACTCGGCGCGGGCCTCACTGTCACTGTCGCTCCCCATGCTGCGGAAGCAGTCCAGGAGGAGCAGCTCGGTATCCTTCTGGCCCAGCTTCAGCACGTTCGGTTCCTCTTCCATCGCGGCTGACGGTGCCTGCGGGCTCTCGCGGCTACTCGTGCCCACCTCCTCCGCCGACAGCGCCTCGACCATCGCGCAGAGGACCGCTGGAGCTGGTGGGCCGACTCCCCGCAGGTTGGTCATCATCTCCTCGGCGTCGAGATCGTGTTGCCGCGCTGCTGCCGCGTCGCTGTCCTTCTCTGCCTTGGCCTTCTCCTTCAGTTTGCTGACCTCCGCCCTCATGTTGGTGGCCTTCACCGACAAGTCCTGCGACTCCGTCTGCACGGCCCTGATTGCGGGAGACTTCTCCTCGAACAACACCGTTCTCGTAGCTGTGCCCCACAGCGCCCGCGACCGCTGGGTGAGCTGGGCCGCCTGCGTCGAGAGCAAAAGGGGGAGCTCCTTGAAGCCGTTCCATTTCGTCGTCAGCTTGTGTTCCTTCGCCACCGCGCGGCGCCTGCCGTCTCTCCTGATCCGTAAGCTTGCCCGCCGAGCCATCTGTACCTCTAGCCCGAGCCATCTCTACCCGAGCCAAGTCCCCGTGCTACTCTCTAGCCCGAGTCGCTTCTCTGGAAGAGGAGGAGGAGGAGGAGCAGCAGGAGGAGGAGGAGGAGCATAAGGAAAAATAGGCGAAAGAGGAGGAGGAGGAGGAGGAGGAGCTCGGCTGGCTGCGGGGCGGGGGAAGGGGGGGGGGGGGGCGCGACGTCGGTGACGTGCCGTGCCAGAATAAGACGGTCGGGGTGGAAGGGGCGCGCTGGCTTTGGGGCGAGGCGGGGATAGGCTGTCTCCGGGGGGGAAGAAGAGCTGGGCTGGCTGCGGGGGAGGGGGAACCTGGGCGCGGTGCCAACGCCCTGCCGTGCCGTGAGGGAATAAAGGGCTCGGTGCGGAGTGGGCGCGCTGGCCAAGTGGGGCGAGGAGAAGCCGGGCTGGGAGCGGCTGCGCGAAAGGGGGAGGGCGTGGTGCCAGTACCGCGGTGTGCCGTGCCGGACTGAAACGGTCGGGGGTGAGGGGGCGCGCTGGCTGGGGGGTGGCGCAGAGGAGATGGTCTGGCTGCGGGAGGCACGGGGGGCAAGGTGCCCTGGTTGGGGGGCGAAGAGGAGCCTAGCTTGCGGGCGAGGAGGAACTGGGGAGGGAAGCGAATGGGAGGTGTTCACCAGTGCCGTTCCGTGCCGTGCCGAGATTTAGTCGTTGGGGCTCTAGATACAGACGCAAGCTAATAACCCCTCATTGTCGCACCCCCAGACGTATCGGAAGGGCGGGCCGGGCGCCTCGCCCACGTTTTTTCACACATTATGATTCTGATGCTTGGAGTTTACAACAACTTCAAGCATGGAGGGCGGGCAGTTTTCAACATGTTGATCTCGCATTAACGCCGCCGAAATGCGTTTTTAGATTTCGCGGCAGCTTCAAGGATGGAGGGCGGGCCCTTTTCAAGATGCTGTTCGGCCATAGCGCCTCAAACATTCGTCTTGCACGCCTGCGACAGCTTCGATGACCGAGGGCGGCTCCTTTTCAAAATATGGTTCTCGCCTTAGCGCCGCGCGCATTCGTCTTCTAAATCTGCAAACACCTCAAAGGCTTCGTAGGCTTCAAATCCAGGGTATTAGGGTTGTCAGGACGCAACAGTCACGTTGATTCTCGACGTTGAGTCCCAGGAATGGTGTTCCCGCGCGGTTTTAATGTTTTTGGGTTGTGCCTGTTGCGCTGCCAGTTCCGTCCTCTGCGTGCGGCGTTGAGCGGCGAGGGCGCGGCCGCGCTGGAGCAGGCCGTCAAGCAAGCGGTTCGAGGGCATCGCCGCGCTGACGGCGTGCTGGACAACTTCAAAGATGCAAGTGAAAAGCGCCCTTCCTCTTCCTCTTCCCCGCCACTCCTTTCGCGCTCACCTGGCTCTGGCCGCCGCGGCAGGCACCAAAGGACAGCGCGGCTGGCCGCCAATTGGCGACAGCCACGCGCATCCCCCTGGGGGGGGCCCACGCCTGGGGGGCAGGTTAGGGGACGTTCCTCTCCACAATTACTCCATCTGAATACTACTCTCCCTCTTCCCCTGATGGCGTGCTGGGAGTGGCCGACCCCCCCCGCGTACTGTTTTTTAACACACAGGATTCCAAGGAGTTGGGTTGTCGCCTGCGTTTTTTAAAAAATGCTGCTCTCGCTGAGGCGCTGGCCTCATTTCTGCTCCCGAATCGTTCCGAATCGTGCTCCCGCTGCAGCGTGGGCCTCATTT